TAGTTCAGTAAGCATTTTTTTTTAACCCGGATTCACCAGCTCTTAGTGTTTTTCCACATTTGCATGTGTGCGCACATTCTCCTTCCCTCTCTCCCTCCACACACACTGTTATTATTGTTGCTGTTGAACCATTTGAAAGTAAGAAATTAAGTTGTAGACATCATGGCACTTCATGCTACATACTATAGAATGTGTCTCTTGAAAACAAAGATTTTCTGCATAATCACAATCCCATTATCATACCCAAGAAATTTCTTAGTGATACAATAATCTTATTTAATATATGGTTCATACTCAAATTTCCTTAATTGTCTTCATATTTTCCTTTAAAGCTAGACCAGCTTCTACACCTTTTTTTTTTTTTAAGATTTTATTTACTTATTAGAGAGAGAGAGAGTGAGCACGAGCAAGGGCAGAGGCAGAGGGAGAAGCAGGCACCCCGCTGAGCAGGGAGCCCGACCTGGGACTTGATCCCAGGACCCTGGGATCATGACCTGAGCCAAAGGCAGATGCTTAACCAACTGAGCCACCCAGGTGTCCCACCTTTTATTTGTTTTTTAATCTCTTATAACTGATATTTTCTGAACAGCCCCAGTTACTTATCTTATAGAATGTCCCAGTCTGGACTTGCCTAATTATGTTGTCATGATTAGAGTCAGGTTGAGCATTTTTGGCAAAAAGACCACAAAAGTGATGGGGTTTATTTCCCATTAGATCATATCAAGAGGCATCATGTCATTTTGTCACTTTATTGGTGATGCTAAATTTAATGACAACGCTGTACATTTTGGCTGAGCCTTATTTGTTTCTGACTTTTAGTACTGTTGAAGTGCGTGGGGCCTCGCAGCCAAAATGTGGAAACAACCCAAATGTTGAATGGTGAATGTCGAACAGACATGATACAGCCATAGAGGGGAATATTACTCAGCCCTGAACAGGAATGAAGTACTGATACATGCTTCAAGATGGATGAACCTCAAACACCTGATGTTAAGTGAAAGTCTACAGAAGCTTACATATTGTATTATTCCATTTATATGAACTATCTAGAGTAGGTAAATCCATAGATATCATGCAGAGTGGTGGTTGCCAGGGGCAGAGAAGAAGGGAATAGGGAGTAACTGCCTGATGGGTACAGGGTTTCATTTTTGAGTCATCTAAGTATTTTGCAACTAGCTAGAAGTGGTAGTTGTACAACACTGTGAATGTATTAAGCACCACTGGATTGATTTCTTTAAAATGGTTCACTTGTGTTATGTAAGTTTCACTTCAATAAAAAAAAAAAGATGAGGGGGAGGCAGCTTCCTAATGATGTAGAGGAAGTAGAATCTGTGGGCATGAAGTTATAATAGAATATGAATGATAAAGGCTGGCTTGTGGTTTTCTTATTATTTTTTTAATTTTAATTTTTTTTTTTTTGGCTTGTGATTTTTCATTCAACATATACCTCGGTCGAAGCAACTCAAATTCAGGCCTTCCGTGCAGCTTGGTTTGTGGATCAAGACAATTTTAAAAAAGTATCAGCATCAGTTTTGAGAACTGTGCAATATGGTGGAGTAGACTTTTGTATCTTTTCTCTTTGATCTCCAATTCAGAAGAATCATGTTACCTTGGATTGCTTAATGAGATAAAAATAGAAAAGAGAGGTGATCTGGTCACCTAGTTTTTTTAGTGTTTTCTTCTTTCAATCCAATTTAGGATCACGGGATTTAAAAAGCTATTTTGGTGCTGTTTATGATATGAAATATTAAAGAATGTATGCAATGTGTGGAGTGGGAGTTTAAATTAGACCAACTCCTTTGGATCGTAAGGAATCAAAGTGTATCAAGTGACAAAGTGTATCAAGTTTCTGCTTGGTGATCCAGGGTTTTACTGACTGTCCTCTAGAAGTAAATTAAAATGTAGGGAAAATGTTATGCAGGATTATGTTTATAGAGCAAATTTGTTAGAAGCCCACATTTTCAAAAAGAAAAGGATGGTTGAATCAGTATTGCCATTCAATGGAATGTGAATCAGTCATCAAAAATACCATTTTTGAAGAGGTTTTAATACAAAATTTATAATATAAAACAGCTAGTGTGAGATCATCATAAGAGATACAATACAGAAATTTTTTAAAAAATGTGATCAACCATGTTAAGGAAACATAACCTGTTCATAGGAAAAAAAAAAAAAAGACCACAAAGAAAATTTTAACAGTACTTTTTGTTGAGTGACAAGAATGTTGGTGCTATTTTATCTGCTTTTACTTTCTGCATTTTCTAAACATTTAATAGTAAATACAATTGCTGTAACAATGGCTTCCATTTGTCAAGTGCTTTCTGTGTGCCGGGCACAATGGCATGTCTACATTTATTTCCCCACGGTCCTTGGAGGCGGCTGCTGTCATTAGCTCATCTCACAGGTAAAGAAAGGCATTAAGGTTCAAGAAGTAAAAGAACTCGCCCCAGGTTGGGCAGCTAGTCGGTGGCAGATTCCAACATAAGCAGTCCAATTCCAGATCCATGTTTTAACCATTATCCATGCAGAACACTTGGTGGCTGTTAAACACAGATGCAGTATGTATTCAATTAGTGTGTGTGTGGTTGGGTTAGTGGAACACTGAATTAGTAGCCCGGGGGCTTTATTTCTGGATCTGCTCTTGACTCCTTCTGTGGTTCAAATTAAGTTACTCTGCTTTTTTTCTCAGTTTCTCCATCATTATAGTAAGGAAAACAGAACCTCCCATTTGCCTGATTTCTTATGTTTATGAGCCTGCCTACATGCTTGTAATAAATATTTGTAAGTTTATGGTGCTGTTGCCATGAGCTAAGACTAGTTTGGTTTTGTAAGAAAAAAAAAGTGTGTGGGTTTAAGAGTTAGGCAGATCCAGGTTAAAGTCCTTTGGACCCTCAGAATCCTTGCGCCTCAGTTTCCACATCTGCAAAATGGGGACAGTACTGTGTACCTTGAGGGTTGTGAGGAGAGAAAATGACATTGCCTAGGAGGTGGTCGCCACTCAGCAACTGTCCTTTCCTGTCTCTGTTCCATCTCAGCTCACCTGATTTAGAGTACAGAGTAATGAGACCTACCAAAGTTTCTTGTACATTTTGGACACATTTTAGTAAAATAAAGAGAAAATTAACCAACAGTGGTAAATTGTCAGCACTCAGACCTGGGTAGAGGGAAGCAGGTGAAGCAAAATGAAATGATCCTGGTAGGAGTGAGGGCAGAGGACACTCTTTTTGGCCGTGCTTCTGGAATCATGCTGGCTTTTCCAGAAGGCAACAAAACACCCCACGGAGGGGTAGAGGGCACATACTTCCTTCACCTTTCATGCTTTAACAAACTTTTTAAACAAACTTTTCTTTAACAAACTTTTTTAACCTACCCTGGAGAGAGCAGGTCATTCCTCTTATGGGGGTCAATTCTGTATTTAGGTTAAATCTGTACTGGGATATTTACTGATTTATCTGTCTCCAGAAATATAAACATATGTTCTGTTTTTGGCAAAAAAAAAAAAATTGTATCTACAAAACTGTGATAGGTCAAGGTGCTGTTAATCAGATACCGTAATGGATGGTTTGGGAATAAAACTCTTTGTAACGAAGTTGATAGGGAGTAGACAGGAGTTTGGGCGACCGAAGTCAGCTCTAAAACCAAGACTGCAGCACCTAACAGAAGAGGAAGAGCCAATGGCACTCCTTAAAGTCATGGGTGGCATTTATTGAGCGCTTACTGTGTGCCAAGCTTTATGACTTTATGCTTCCCTCCTCCTTTCTCATTAATATTTCTCTCCCTCTCTTTTTATTTTTTATTTATTTTTAAGATTTTATTTATTTATTTGACAGAGAGAGAGATAGTGAGAGCAGGAACACAAGCAGGGGGTGTGGGAGAGGGAGAAGCAGGCTCCCCGCCCAGCAGGGAGCCCAATGCAGGACTCAATCCCAGGACCCTGAGATCATGACCTGAGCCGAAAGCAGATGCTTAACGACTGAGCCACACAGGCGCCCCTCCCTCTCTTTTTAAAAGATTTATTTATTTATTTGAGAGAGAGCATGTGATTAGGGGTGGGAGGGGCAGAGGGAGAGGGAGAGAATCTTAAGCAGGCTCCCCACAAAGCGTGGAGCCCAAGACCCGGGGCTCAATCTCAGGAACCTGAGATCAGAACCTGAGCCGAAATCGAGTCGGACGCTAACTGACTGAGCCACCCAGGCACCCCATATTTCTCTTCTTATAAATATTTTTTAGTATCATAGCACAGACATAAAAAGAAAATGTCTAGCTTAGCTTTGTGTATTACTTTAAGGCAAACATTCTCGTCACTACTACCCAGGTCAAGTTTTCTCCATTCTTGCTTCATGTAGTTTGAAGCTATGTCATTCGGTGCATAAACAATTTAGATTTTGCTTTGTCATAATGAAATGTTGCAAGTAGTGAAAGATGAACTAAGGCTCCTACGCTATTTCTGTTTCTGGCAACAGAGTTCCTGAAAACGGAGTTTGTTGCTAGAATGTTCCCTCTTTGTGGGCACATAAATAATGACTGCTCACCAAGGTAAATATCTGTAGTAGGAACTCCTCTGCATCCCTTCTTTCAGCAGTGATTCCTCCATGTATCAGGTCAGGGAGGCGCTGTAGGCCAGGGACTTTGAGAGTGGACTATGGATTTAGATAACCACTTCCTTTCTGTGGGGCTTGGTCAGTTCATTTAACTTCTCTATGCCATTTTCTCGTCTACGAAAAGGACCGTGGCTGCTTTCATTAATACTGTAGCTATATAAGGATTACATGAAAATATTTTGGCAGAGTACGTCATACAATACTTGGCATATAGTCAATATTCAATAAATGCTAAATAATACTGTATCATTGCTGTCTTGTTATATTGGACTGAGGCTCAGTTTAACGCACTTTTTGTATTAATTAAATCCCCCTGCCATGGACCACTGATTATGTAATACAGTGAGCAGATGCTAACTAACCCCGATTTCTGAGGTCTTTCCCTTTCTTACAGCACAGGTGTGCATTGGAATCATCGTGATACTGATCATATACAACTTTTGGTTCCTCTATGTCCCTTATATGACATGGCTTTACTTTGACTGGAGTACCCCAGAGCAAGGAGGCAGGAGATCCAACTGGGTCAGAAGCTGGACCGTTTGGAAGTATTTTAAGGACTATTTTCCAATTCACGTGAGTAGAATTGTTTTATGTTGTAGTATCTTGAGCTGGGAGAAGAATGGAAATTTGTTTTCATCACGGATAGTTCAAGCTTTTTTCTTTTCAGAGAGAGAAAGCCTGCAAATCAGCCCTAATTACTAAATGGGATCTAAGCTAAATTGACACCATTTCGAAGGCCATGTGTGGGGTGTTCTGGGCTCAGGAAATAGTTTAAAAATTTGGAAAAAGCTCCAATCCAGAGAACTAAACAAGTCATGTTTTCCATTTCCTTTTTAAAAAAAAATATTTATTTGAGAGAGAGAGAGAGCGAGAGAGAGCATGGGCAGAGGGGAGAGGGAGAAACAGGTTCCCTGCCAAGCAGGGAACCCAATGTGAGGCTCGATTCCAGGACCCTGAGGTCATGACCTGAGCCAAAGGCAGATGCTTTACCAACTGAGCCACCCAGGTGCCCCTCCATTTCCTTGTGACATAAAAACTAATCATGAGCTTCTTGGTTTCTTATTGGAATCTAATCTGGACCATTTTATTATTTTTTTAATCCCACTATATACTGTAGCTCATCAAAACTTGGGATTTGGATCCAAGTCACAACTATATATTTGGGTTTCACCCCCATGGAGTGCTTGTTGCTGGAGCCTTTGGAAATTTTTGTACAAATTATTCGGACTTCGAGGAGCTGTTTCCTGGCTTCACCGCATATCTTCATGTGCTCCCATTTTGGTTCTGCTGTCCTCTCTTTCGAGAATATCTGATGAGCAGTGGTAAGTGAAGGCAAATCGTTATTTCTCCAGTGTTCTAGGGTGGCAGGACCACACCTCCCAAACACAGGTTTACAGTTTCTTGGTAAAACCCTGTTTCTGTATCCCTGTCTGATACTTCCCATGCTGCTTGGATGATTCTTGCCTCCCACACTGGACTGGAAGTTCCAGGAAGACACAGACCGTCTCTTTTTCTTTTTTTTCCCCACCCCTTTCTAGCATAGGGCCTGGGATATAGGAATATTCAATAGATGTTAATTCAATGAAAGAATAAATTGATGAATGCATTTTGTGTATCCAGATGTGGAAGAAAGAATCTTGGGTCAAACAAGTGATAGATTGCACCTTTGGAAAAGCACTTTGCCTGCGTTTATGAGCATTAGAGATGGAAAATGTCCTCCAATATGTCTTGAAGTAATGGCCATATATAAATGAAGCATACTTAATCTGTCTTTTTCTTCCCAGATTAAATAGAACTTGGCTCAGAATTGAGTTCATTCTATTGAATGAACTGAGCTGGTGGAAGACTCTTCGATTAATGAAACCATAATTCTACCAATTCCAAGAATAAAATTTAGCTGAAACGCTATAAAGACACTATATGAGTGTGCACAGAGGCTAAGCTTGTGTTAACAGTTCTCACATCAATTTGAGGGATTCAGTTTATTTGGTTTTCTAACTTGACCAACTTAATGACTCAGCATGAACTACAGTACCTTACAGAGTGCTTTATGTTTATCGTCTACATTAACTATTGTTGTCTTGCATTTCTTGGATATAAAGAAAAGTGGATAGTCTCTTTTTGAAAACTTACAATTTCAAAAAAATTTTACAATTTCAGGATGAATAGGTAGATATTCAGAGATAGAATTTTCCAGGGTCTTCCAGGTTTTCATTACTTCCTATTAATTTCTCAAGTCTCTGTTGTCATTATATACCTGATAGGAAATCACTAAGCACTAGAGGACCAGGATCCCTGGCTGGGTTTTCAGGTTCTGTGTATGGACCTTCACCCATATGGCGCTGGGCTCTTGGTCCAGTCTGGCTGTAACTGCGTCTGGCCTCTAGAGGGCGCACCAAACCTCCAAACTACTATATAGGCAAAAACAACAAAAACAAACCCTTCCTTGTTTTGCCGACATCGATTGGGTTAGTTTTATAAAAGGAAAAAAATTAAAGGGAAATTTTTTAAATTTCAGAAAAGCACAGAAATACATTTACAGTATACTGTTTGCTGATTCCAGCCACAAGTGAGGTTGGGTAGTGGTAACAGAGTAGGTGTGGCAAATTTATGGTACAAGAGATGTAGGTACACCCCTCTCCGTGGCCACGTCAGATACATATAATCAACCTTAAGAGTCTTTCTCCATAAAGTGCCCTCAGAGTCATTGCCATTTGCTTGAGCTGGCATTTGAGATTAAACTTGTCTGTTCTCTCTGGCTTATGATATCATGAGATCTTTTCCTTTTTGCTATAAGCTGAGATATCCTAAAAGCTAAATAAAAATATCCAAATTTGTAGCTGGTAGAGTTTCAGGGCGTCCTTATCTCAAAATTTGGAGAGTTCTCAATTTTTTTCTAGAACCAGCTTCCAGGACAGGCTCTGGTCCAAGGCTGCCCTTTTACTCTCTGCCTTTCTTGGTGGTTGCCTCTCTGGGTGTGAAAGACAGACAGACATGTGTACCAAACCCATGTAGTAAAGAAGCAGTAGAGTTTCAGAGATCCTTTGCTGACCAGTGCCTGTTTCCTCTTTTGCTCTTACTCATGGGATTTCCGTCACTATAAGTCCCTGTAAGTCCCCCCTCCAAACTTTCCCTCTTGGTCCATTTTGGTGACTCTCTACTCATCAGGTGTCAGCCAGGGCACATTCTGTGTTTCGAGGCTCACATTCCTTCCCATGTGCCTAGTAAGGCTCTACAGGTAGCAGAGATCAGATCACAACAGCCACGTATAGAGCCCAGAGGAGGTTGATATGGAAAACAACTGATGGATTTGACAAGACGTAGTGATTGATGCGGCCTTAGGAAGGTAGCAACTGTATATGTCTTATGATCAGCATCTACCCCAGTGTCTTGCCTGGAGCAGGTGCCCAATAAGTGTTTTGAATGAAGGAATGAGTGGAGTCAACATGGTTGCTAAGAAGATGGGAATATGTTTGGGAGGAGCCTACACCTCTGACTTGCACGACAAGATAGATGATGGTCCCATTCACCTTGAGGGGTAGTGTTACAAGAAGAATACAGTGCATTGGGTCTGGAAACATGGAGTTTGAGGTGTCTTTGAGTTGGCAAGGTAGACATGTCCATTGGGCCATTGGGAAGTGTGGGTGTAGAGCCTCAGGAAGGAGAGGTCCCAGGAGATAGATTTGGGAGAACTCAGCCCACGTAAGTGGTATTTGAATCCGTGTATGTAGATAACATTAGAAGATATTAGAGACTATGAAGGAGCCTGTCTTAGCCTGCTATAACAGAATGCTATTGACTGGGTGACTTATTGACAGTTATTTCTCACTCTTCTGGAGGCTGGATGTCCAAGATCAAGGTGCTGGCAGATCCGGTGTCTGGTTAGAGCTCCTTTCCTGACTTGCAGGCAGCCATCTTGTTATGTCCTCACATGACGGAGAGATAGCACCCTGCCTCTCTTCCTCTTTTTATAAGGACACTGATCCCATCTTGGGGGCTAAAACGTTCTCATGACCTAATTACTTTCCAAAGGCCCTACCTCTTAATACCATCCTACTGGGGATTAGGGTTTCAACATAGAAATTTTAGAGGAATACAAATATGTAGTTCTTAGAGCCCTAAGACATAGCAGTGGTTAAGGATGGCCTATAAAGGGAGCCCAGAGAGGGAATTGAGAAGTGGTCAGAGGAGAGCTGGTGTCTGGAAACTCAGAAGGCCCTCTTTCCAATGGAAGTTATGCCTCCAGCTCCCACTCAGGGCATGCAGAGTGGAATGGCCATGCCTTGAACCCAGTAGAAATTCAAACCCATTGAGACTCAGGTACTCTACCCTCTAACCCACCACCCTCTGCCTCTTTAGTAGGTGGTTGGTCACTCAGAATCCTGCATTATTTTATATTCCCCCAGTAATAGGCACTTACAGTAAAATGAGCATATAATCATCCTTTGAGAAATGAGGTGTGTTGTGTCTTAATAAAGCCTGTGTGACGCATTCTCTTATGACTAAAAAAATGGATAAAGCCATGAATGGAAGGAAACAATAAGACTTTAAAAAGCAATGATCTCTTTAATACAGGTCATGAGTGGCTTGTATTTTCATTTTTTTTCCCTTTAAGAGTTCATGGCCTTTTCCTCCAAGAGTACATAGTACATTCAAAATCTGAAAAGGAATCTTTAAAGTTATTTTTATGTGGGAAAGCCTGGTACAAAGACCAAACAATTATATAACCTATCTTAAATAAACAGTTTATCAAAGTCAGACTAGACATTTTGGAACCATGTAAAGATCTGGTTATTTGTCAGATGTCTGAATTTTTGAAATCATTATATTATAAATCTAGGTTTGGGAAACAAGAATCCACATAAAATATCTGAAAACAGGCCCTTGTGTGTTCAGAAGACCCAGTGCAACCTCTTCTAAAGGATATGCTTTTTGGTTCTGAGCCAGGATTCACCAGAGTAGTGATCAAGGTCACCACATACAGCTATGCAGGTTGGGCACTGAACAACTGCAGAGGGCACCTTTCACTTATCGTGCAATATGAATAGAGTCCATAGAGTTGAGCAGCGTACAGCCTACCCAAATAAGTGGTAGATCTAATAACAAATGACATTTTAAAGACCTAACCCAATCACCTGACAAAATGTTATATTTTATGAATGGAATATATTACCAAAGATCTGGCTGTGACAAAATTTTAAGCAAGATGTTCTAGGGAATTTTGTTAAATGTTCACTGATGCCACTGAATATTATGACAAAAATATTTTAATTTTTAAGATAAATACTTAGCCCTTTTGTTTTATTCACTAAGGGTCAGTCTCAGTTTCTAAGAAAAGTGTGTCCCATGTGCTGAGCAAGGAGGAAGGTGGAAACATTTCAGTCATTGTTCTTGGGGGTGCAGAGGAATCACTGGATGCCCATCCTGGAAAATTCACTCTGTTCATCCGCCAACGGAAAGGATTTGTTAAAATTGCTTTGACCCATGGGTAAGTAGCTTCTCATTTCAGGTACTTGGGTGAGAGAAGTTAAGATATTATTAAATGAACACAAAGAAATAAAGTAATTTTTTCCAGTCCTTAAAGACAGACTTCCTCTTAGCTGACCTTCCAATAAAAGCAGATTTGGATGTTCATGGGAAATGGCATACAACCTTCCCCCTAAGGTAGTTCAATGCTATGGCATCCAGAAGTTAAACTCACCTTTAAAAACAAAGCAAACGGGCACCTGGGTGGCTCAGTCTGTTGGGCATCTGCCTTCAGCTCAGGTCATGATCCTAGGATCCTGGGATTGAGCCCCACATTGGGCTCCCTGCTCAGCAGGGAGTCTGCTTTTCCCTTTCTCTCTGCCTCTCCCCTCCTACTCATTTTCTCTCTCTCTCAAGTAAATAAATAAAATCTTTTTTTAAAAAAGCAAACGGGGCACCTGGGTGACTCAGTCGTTAAGCGTCTGCGTTTGGCTCAGGTCATGATGGGATCGAGCCCTGCATTGGGCTCCCTGCTCGGCGGGAGGCCTGCTTCTCCCTCTCCTACTCCCCCTGCTTGTGTTCCCTCTCTCGCTGTCTCTCTCTCTGTCAAATAAATAAGTAAAATCTTAAAAATAAATAAATAAAAATTTTAAAAAGCAAACAAAAAGTACAAAATTTTATATATGGAGTATAAATTTCCAGCCAAATGAACAAACGAATCATGGTCTGGACTCTAGGTGGAAAGGAAGCTTCCCAGAGCCTTGATTTTTCTATGGAATAAAATACCACGAATCGCTAAGCTGCTGAAGTACTGCCCCAAAGGATTTTTTTTTTTTTTTTTAAGATTTTATTTATTTTTTGACAGGGAGAGACACAGCAAGAGAAGGAACACAAGCAGGGGGAGTGGGAGAGGGAGAAGCAGGCTTCCCGCGGAGTAAGGAGCCCGATGCAGGGCTCGATCCTAGGACCCTGGGATCATGACCTGAGCCAAAGGCAGATGCTTAACGACTGAGCCACCCAGGCGCCCTGCCCCAAAGGATTTCAAGTATAAGTCAGTTTCATTGTGTGGAACATGAAATTAGCAGTATAAGGAGACATGGGAACATTGAAAAATTCTTGGTTCAGGGATTCGTCAGCGTACAACACCCAGTGCCCATCACAACGCGTGCCCAATCGTTGAACACTACATCAAAAACTAATGATGTACTATATGCTGGCTATTTGAACATAATAATTAAAATAAATAAATGAATAAAGAGATTGAAAGAAAAAAAAATTGTTGGGATATGTTGCAAAAGTCATCTGAACAGAATAAAATACTTAAATCATTTTCCTTAAAAATTTGTATTGTTCTGCTTTATTTGTAGCGCCTCCTTGGTCCCGGTGTTTTCTTTTGGAGAAAATGAGCTATTTAAACAAGTTAACAACCCTGAAGGCTCATGGCTTCGAATTGTGCAAGAGAAGCTACAGAAGATCATGGGGTTTGCTTTGCCGCTGTTCCATGCCAGAGGAATTTTTCAATACAATTTTGGCCTGATGCCCTATAGGAAACCTATCCACACTGTTGGTATGTATATCAAAGACTAAAGGCTTGTTAGAATAAGTAAAAGTATTACCTTACTTTGAGCAATGTTATTGTTATTGATTGCAGGGCTAATGCAAGAGAAGTGGCTTTAAGAACTTCCTAAAATAAGAATCCTATAGATGTGATTTGAGCTTCATTTATGGTATGCCTTTTAGCTAAGAAATGACTGAATTTTCCACTTGGAAATTGATTACTTTCAAGAATACTACTATTGAACTACAACAGGGAGAATCCAATTTAGACATAAAGTTCCTAGTACTCTATATGAATCTATTTCTCTGTACCAGCAGATTGTAATGTAGCAATTCTTTGATGAACACATTACATCAGTCTATTAATCAATGCAGATTTCTGTGTAATAGAAATCTTCATCATGTGCAATTCACCTGGGCACTAGTTTCTGTAGCAAAAACATTTTGGGGGGCCTCTTGCTATTTTTATATGTATCCTAATATGAACTGATTTTATTTTAAAAAGTGGTACATTGGGGGGAATTGAGATGGGGGAGGAAGGTGACAGATTGTTGATGGAAGGACTGAGGAGCAGAGTAATTAGCTCTTCACACTGAAAAGGACCTGGATTGCTGAGCAGGAGAAAGTGCAGAGCCAGATGCCAATAGCATAGTTAACAAAACTGTATACTTCATCTAAACCTGGAAGTAATAGTTTCACCATGGTAGTCCATTAAATTACATTCAGAATGTTTTTAGATCTGTTTCATTAGAATGGGATTTTACTATTTACTGTCAGTTTCTGAGAGCTTTGCATGTCACGTGCAGTCACATGACACTTTTTAAACGAGGTATTTAATTCAAATGGAATGTTAACAGACTGTTGATTAGTTAGTGTAATGGGAACACGGAGATAAGTTTGCAATTGTGTTTTTCCAAGATAAGCTGGTTATATTTCCTTGGCATAATATATATTTTTTAACCAGATAATCAACATGGGTTAGACCATGATTTTTCTTTGTTGTGATATTAAGTAGTAATTTTTGGTCCCTTATGTGCAAAGTACTGTAGTTGGCATTTTTGGGGATATGAGGAAAATTGAAAGACATGATTTTTAGGAAGTAAAAGTTTAATTAAATATAACTCATACACACGTAAAGTAAGTTGTCGATGTTGAAAGCCAAGTGTATTTTGTTGATTTAAATGATTATAGTTATCGCCTATATGGGGGTAAACTGTAGTTTTAAGTAAAGTGGTCATCATATGATACAGCCTAATTATAAACCTACTGACAAATAATTAATTGGTCAGGGGTCAAATGGAAATGACCGAATCGGAATCCGTTGTTGCGACTAGAAAACCTAGAACTCTGGTCTTCACTCATGCCTGTCTAACGTGTTTTTCTTCAAGACTTAGAATAAGAGAAAATTGCTTCAGTCCACTCTTCAGCCTACCTCCCAAATGATCACATCAGAAATAGCATATCTAGTCTCTAGCATCCTCAGTATCCTGCTGTTATTTGAAGCCTTTTTAAAACCAAACTGAGAATCACAGACCTGTACCTCTGAAACAAATAATACGTTATATGTCAAAAAAAAAAAAAAGAAGAAGAAGATAGTAGGAAGGGAAAAATGAAGGGGGGGAAATCGGAGGGGGAGATAATCCATGAGAGACTATGGACTCTGAGAAACAAACTGAGGGTTTTAGAGGGGAGGGGGGTGGGGGGATGGATTAGCCTGGTGATGGGTATTAAGGAGGGCATGTATTGCATGGAGCACTGGGTGTTATACGCAAACAATGAATCATGGAACACTACATCAAAAACTAGTGATGTAATGTATGGTGACTCACATAACATAATAAAATAAAATTAATAACCCCCCCCACACAAATTCTCAATATAATAATGTTTGTAATAGTGAAAAATTATAGCCTACATCTCTATTAAGGAAATTGATAAATAAATGGTGGTTTATCAATAAAAAAAAAAAAACCAAGCTGAGAATATGAACGTTTACATAAAGTCTCAGCTACCATGAGTTTGATTTTATGGTGGCAGAGTGGGAGTCAGACAGATTAAGAGCAACCTGATTTGGGTGAACCAGACCTTCACAGACTATGTGCATCTAAAGACTTTTATTTGGGGGATGCCTGGCTGGTTAGTTGGTAGAGCACATGACTCTCGATCTATGGGTCAGGAATTCAAGCCACAGGTTGGGCGTGGAGCCTCCTTAAAACATAAATAAATAAATAAATAAATAAATAAATAAATAAATAAAATGAAGACTTGTATTTGAAATAACACACGTGAGGATAGAATATTGACAATTCCATAAACAGAAGCAAAGCTACATATCAATCCAGTGCAATGCGGTATGGTAACAGTGAGCTAAGTTACTATGTCAGTTCTATTTTTTTTTTTTAAAGATTTTATTTATTTATTTGACAGAGAGACATAGCGAGAGAGGGAACACAAGCAGGGGGAGTAGGAGAGGGAGAAGCAGGCTTCCCGCCGAGCAGGGAGCCCGATGTGAGGCTCGATCCCAGGACCCTGGGATCAAGACCTGAGCCGAAGGCAGATGCTTAACGACTGAGCCACCCAGGCGCCCCTGTTCAGTTCTATTTTAAATCAATGCATTTCAAACTCAGAGTTCTTTGCTGACTTGCTGACACAGCCCAGGCAGATCAGGTAGAGTTGAGACCAGCAAGTTGTTTTGTGGTCCTTCTGCTCCCCTTTCATTTAAATAAGAGTTTGTGAACTTGGGCGCCTGGGTGGCTCAGTCGTTAAGCGTCTGCCTTCGGCTCAGGTCATGATCCCAGGGTCCTGGGATCGAGTCCCACATCGGGCTCCCTGCTCAGCGGGTAGCCTGCTTCTCCCTCTGCCTCTCCCCCTGCTTATGTTCCTTCTCTCGCTGTGTCTCTCTCTGTCAAATAAATAAATAAAATCTTAAAAAAAAAAAAAAAAGAGTTTGTGAACTTAACTCTACCTCATAAGAACTCAGTAAATATTAGTTCAGTTAGTTAAATCATCATTTCATCTATAATCCTCACACCCACAGTTGTCTGGAGATGCTCAGGTTCTCCATCCTACAGCCTCCCCACACAGCTGTGAGACCTTACTTCCTCAGTGACCTCAGAGCATTCATTTCAGTGTTAGTGATTCTCAAATACAGTGAGAATTACTAAAACTGTAAGGGTTTTGTCTGTTAATATCCTACTAATTGAATCCTCTTAAAAATGTGATCTCATTAAATCCAAAGTGCCATCATCAGGTCACACTTAACCCTCTCTGCATATTTCTTATACTACACCTTGCTAAACCATCAGGTTTCTCTGCATCCTCCATCAGAACCATCTTTCCTATTTTTTTTTAAAGATTTTATTTATTTATTTGAGAGAGAGTGCACGTACACAAGTGGGGGGAAGGGCAGAGGGAAAGGGACAGGCAGACTCCTCACTAGCATGGAGCCTGGGGCTTGATCCCAGGACCCTGAGATCATGACCTGAGCTGAAGTCAGACGCTTAACTGACTGAGCCACCCATCTTTCCCCTTAGCTGAGGGTCACTGACTGGAAATAATTTGTAAAGAAGATACCATATATTAGCATCTGCATAGCAAAGGAAACAATCAACAAAACTAAAAGTCTACTGAATGGAAGAAGATATTTCCAAATGACATCTCTGATAAAGGGTTAGTATCCAAAATATATAAAGAAGTTATACAACTTAACTCCCAAAAAACAATCCAATGAAAAAATGGGCAGAAGACATGAAAAAAATGTTTCTCCAAAGAGGAAATACAGCTGGCCAACAGACACATGAAAAGGTGTTCGACATCACTCATCATCAGGGAAATGCAAATCAAAACTACAAAGAGATATCACCTCACACCCTTCAGAATGGCTAAAACAAAAAACACAAGAAACAACAAGTGTTGGTGAGGATGTAGAGAAAGGGGAATCCTTTGTGCTGCTGGTAGGAATGCAAACTGATGTAGCCACTGGGGAAAACAGTATGGAGGTTCTTCAGAAAGTTGAAAATGGAACTACCTTACGGCTCAGTAATTGCACTACTGGGTATTTACCCAAAAAAATACAAAAACACTAATTAAAAGGGATACAAGCACCCCTGTGTTTATTGCAGCATTATTTACAATAGCCAAGTTATGGAAGCAGCCCACATATCCATCTATAGATGAATGGATAAAGAAGATGTGGTGTATATATACTGTGGAATGTTATTCAGCTGTAAAAAAGAATGAAATCTTGCCATTTCCAACAACATGGTTGGAGCTAGAGTATAATGCTAAGCAAAATAAGCCAAAGGAAGACAAATACCATATGATCTCACCATATGTGGAGTTTAAGAAGCAAAACAAACAAAGAAAAAGAAGAAACCAAGAAACAGTCTCTTAGCTATAGAGAATGGACAGAGGACAGGTCGGTGGGGGGGCAATGGAGGAAATAGGTGATAGGGATTAAGAGTACACTTGTGATGAGCACTGAGTAATGTATAGAAGTGTTGAATATTGTACAACGGAAACTAATATAACACTGTACGTTAACTATACTGGAATTAAAGTAAAAAATTTAATAAAAAAGTAAAAAAAGAAGATACCATATATTTACACATTTCACAAATAGTACGTAATTTATATATTTTGTTATTGTCAGTTTATCAAAATATAATAAAATGTTCACATATATTGTGTTTTGTTACATAAATAATGGAGAGAAACTGATTTAAATATCACATCCATCATGATACCCAGGATGGGTAATTGAAAGAAGTTTAGACTCTAAGAACAATGTGTAAAGAATTGCAGTTCCTTGGAATTGCTTTGTTTGTTTCTACGATACAGAGCTCGGGGAGAACAGGGATTTTGTCTTACTGTTTTCTGCTCTATTTCCAGTGCCGGCAGGATAGGGACTCAAGACACATTTGGAAACAATTCATTCTTTAGTTATGCCTTTGTGATTATAATTTGTAAGTTTTCAAATATCTAACAAGTACCCATTAAAAATTTTAAGGG